TACAGTACAAGTACGTGGGCTGTCAGTGCACTACACCACAAGAATGCAATGTATTACAGTATAATTAAGACGGGATTGGAGACAAGGAATAGTGGAAAAACTTGATTTCAAGAGAGGATATTATGGGGAACTTGACAAGTTCTTTAATAAATTTGATGGAAAAGAGTTATTGTTTGGAAAGGACCTGAGCCCCATGACATCCAAATGGGCACACAAACCAGACCACTGAAGACAAGCCAAACAAACCAGCATGTATGAGGTAGTGGAAGCTACCTTATATACTTGAATATCATCATGAAGGTCAAGAAGAAGAGCACATGGTAAGTGTAAACCCCACAGGACTCATGGCTGTAGATGTCTCAGGCCCAACAGACAGCATGGTAGAGGCAGAATGAATGAACGACTCCCCGTGGCTCGGTCGATGAACAACCCTCAAATTTGCACAAAATGAGAACAGGTTTGGAGGGATTATCCATAAACCACACCGAACCTGTGGAAGATTTTCAGGACCTGAGACGTTAACCAAGCAGGAGACCCAGGCACTGGGAATGCTACTCAGAACCTAAATGTAAGCTGACATAGCCTGTGCTACATGCCTATGAAGGCCGATCTTGCCGTGTGGTTATCTTGAGTTGATTTCTTGAGTTGATTTCGGGGCTTTAGTGTCCCCGTGGCCCAGTCCTTGACCAGGCCTCCACCCCCAGGAAGCAGCCCGTGACAGCTGACTATCACCCAGGTACCTATTTACTGCTAGGTAACAGGGGCATTCAGGGTGAAAGAAACTTTGCCCATTTGTTTCTGCCTTGTGCGGGAATCGAACCCGCGCCACAGAATTACGAGTCCTGCGTGCTATCCACCAGGCTACGAGGCCTGTGTGGTAAGTACAGTACAAGTACGTGGGCTGTCAGTGCACTACACCACAAGAATGCAATGTATTACAGTATAATTAAGACGGGATTGGAGACAAGGAATAGTGGAAAAACTTGATTTCAAGAGAGGATATTATGGGGAACTTGACAAGTTCTTTAATAAATTTGATGGAAAAGAGTTATTGTTTGGAAAGGAAAAAATGAAATATATAACATACTGTATTTTGTAAGATATATATAATGAAAGTTCAAGGAAGTTCATACCAGTACAGAGATGCAGAAATAGGAAGCTGGATTAGTTCAACATGAATTACAAAAGGGCAAGAGGAACAAAAGATTACAAATGGAATTGGTATAAGACAAAGCCAAACCCTCAGATATACCAGCAATACATTAAAACAAGAAACAACTACATGGCAGTGAGAAGAGAGACAGAAAGAAATTTTGAGAAAGGTATAGTAGACAAATGTAAAACAGAACCTGGCCTATTTTGTTAATTAATTACAAGAAAATTGCTGGCAAAGCATGATAAAATTCATAGGTTGAAATTGGGAACAGATTTATAGAGAATGAAAAGGAAATGTGTGAAACACTAAACGAACAGTTCCAAATTGTGTTTTGACAAAATTAAGTTTTCAGAGAACCAGACAATACAAATCTCAGATAATAACAGAGTACATAGAGGCGTCTCAAGACGAGGAGGAAAAAATGCTCATACTTCATGTATGAAGTATGAGCATTTATATAGGAACTAAGTAAGAATACAGCGGTTGGCTCAGATGGAATTTCACCTTGATTTCTGAGAGAATGTGCATCTGAGCTCAGCACTCCATATCAATTGATTTTTCAGGTATCTTTATGTACAGGAATCTTAGCAGATGTGTGGAAACAGGCTAATATAGTTCCATTCTACAATAATAGTAGCAGAGAAGACCCTTTTAATTATGGACCTGTATAGTTGACAAGCATAGTGGTCAGAACAATGGAAAAAATAATCAACAACAAATGGGTAGAACACCTGGAGAGAAATGATATAATAACAGAAAGACAGTATGGTTTTCGATGAGAAAGATCCTGCATAACCAATCTACAGTACTTGGTTTTTATGATAGTCACAGTGGTTTTACAGGAAGGAGATGGTGGGGTTGACTGCATTTATCTAGACTTAAAAAAGGCTTTCAACAGAGTCCTGCATAAGAGGTTGTTCTGGAAACTGGAACATGCTGGATTAGTGCCAGGGAGACCGCTCACATGGATGAAAATTTTTCTGACAAAAAAATGAGGGCAGTAATCAGAGGCAATGTATCAAACTGGAGAGATAGCACCTGTAGAGTACCACAGGGTTCAGTTCTTGCACCAGTAATGTTCATTGTCTATATAAATGATCTACCAGAAGGAATGCAGAATTATATTAACGTTTGCTGATGATACCAAGTTACTAGGAAAGTTAAGAAAATTAGACATTGCCATGCTCTTCAAGAAGACCTGGACAAAATAAATGTATGGAACAACACCTGGCAAATGAAATTTAATGTGGATAAATGCCATATTATGGAATGTGAAATAGGAGAAAATAGACCACACAACCTACAAATTATGTGAAAAAGTTTTAAATAATTCTAATACAGAAAGAGATCTAGGATAAATTTAGGAGACCTAGGCATTCTGGGTAAAAAAACTCACCTGAGGATCACATAAAGAACATGTGATGCCAATGCTATGCTTTTGAACTTTGGAATCGCTTTTAAATACAGGAACCTTACCTTGAGGTTACCTTGAGGTGCTTCCGGGGCTTAGCGTCCCCGTGGCCCGGTCGTCGAACAGGCCTCCTGGTTGCTGGACTGATCAACCAGGCTGTTGGACGCAGCTGCTCGCAGCCTGACGCACGAGTCACAGCCTGGTTGATCAGGTATCCTTTGGAGGTACTGGATGGTACTGGATTTTTGAATGTCAAAAATATAAAAGAAATTATTTATGACAATTGTGAGACCAAAGTTGGAATATGTAGTATGGTGCCCATATCTCAAGAAGCACATTACTAAACTAGAAAATGTGCAGAGAGATGCAACAAAATTGCTTCAGGAACTGAAAAACAAAAAGGTGGGAGGCGAAGTTAGAGGCGATAAATTACCATAGCTAGAAGATAGAAGAAAAAGGGGCGATATGATCTCAATGTACAGAATAGTAATAGGAATCGACAAAATTGACAATGAAGACTTTTTGAGAAGTGCAACTTCAAGAACAAGAAGATATGGGTTCAAACTAAGGAAACAAAGTTGCAGAAGAAAAAACATTATCAAGTTCACTTTCACAGAGTGGTAGACGGTTGGAAATGAGAAGGTGTAGGGCAAAACTATCAAAACAGGTTCTAAGTTCCAAGTAAACAAGTTCCAAGCATTATATGAGAGTGCTGGGAAGATGGGACACCACAAGCATAGCTTTCATCCTGTAACTACACTTAGGGGACTAAGAACCAACACTCACTCCTGACCTGGGCCAAGACAGAATGGCCACAAGACCCAACTTGCCCAAGGCAAGGTCCACCCGAAGCAGGATGGACCTCTAAGAGAGTGAACTCCCAAATACACCAGAGAAGTGATGTCTGTCAGTGAAGCGGCAGCATTAGAGATCACTCGGTGAAGGTGCCTTGAGCACACACAGCTCCAAGCACTTTAAAAGGCCAGGCCCATGCTACACCAACAGTGTACAACACCTGAGCCACCCAGGATGAAGTTCACAAAGACATTTAGCTGTGATGACTAAACCACACACACACCAGAAGATGAGGAGACGATGACATTTCAGTCTATCCTGGACCATTATCAAGTCGATTGTGGCACAGCCGACTTGATGATGGGAGGGATCTATCTTGAGGTTATCTTGAGATGATTTTGGGGCTTTAGTGTCCCCGCGGCCCGGTCCTCGACCAGGCCTCCACCCCCAGGAAGCAGCCCGTGACAGCTGACTAACTCCCAGGTACCGATTTACTGCTAGGTAACAGGGGCATTCAGGGTGAAAGAAACTTTGCCCATTTGTTTCTGCCTCGTGCGGGAATCGAACCCGCGCCACAGAATTACGAGTCCTGCGCGCTAACCACCAGGCTACGAGGCCCCTATGGGGCAAATGGGGCAAACAAGCACACACTTGTTTCAAGAGATTCAATTGTTTGTTTACATTGTTAGGGGGAGTTCATTCAGCGTGTTCTGATTCTTTGATCACCTGCTCCCTCTGCCTCTGTGAGGGGACAGCCAGGTTCTGGCTCTGGTCCCCGGTAGGCTGAACTAAACTCCATGGCTGAAGTGATCTAGTAGTTGGGAGCCATCTAAGCCAGATAGCTTCAGGGAGTCATAAGAGTCTACCCCAGAAAGGAACAATACACAAGCAAATGGCCCCACTGTATGCAATCCAAGGATGGCCAGCACTTAGCTCAGAAGCACGAGAACTTGCCACAACTGATGGTGACCCAGGTGTCATTAACATCACTACAGTCATGTTGATGACTCCACATCAGCGATAGAACTGACTTGGGAGAGTGGCAGAGGGCCAAGGCTCTGGACCACCCAGTGGCAGTTTGTTGTTATTAATGGTTTGAGCTACTATCAAGTGATTCAATTGTTTCATTTGAATTGTTTGGGGAGTTATTTGGTGGTTTTCAAAGCTTCAGTTCCTGTGAACCTGGCTAATGTCTGTATTGCATCTCTGACTTTCTGGATACTTTCCCAGTGGGGATGACAGAATATCTCTCGGTCTCTGTGCCTCTGTGAGGGGGACCAGGTTCTGGCTCTAGTCCCCGGTAGGTCAAACAAAGTTCCCTTGAATGATGTAGCCTAGTAGATAAGAACAATATCAGAGAAATAGCATCAGGGAGCCACTGGGGCTTTTCCAGAAAAAAGCATTTCATTACATTCAATGCTGGGCCTTTTGTGATTTATAATTCTTGCTTTGTGATTGCAAATAGAAGCGTGATAAGTAATGCTTCATTTATAACTCGTGGTATTGATGATCATGTTTCATGTTACTACTGTAGACTAACTTGTAGAAAGAAAAAGAGTAGTTGATGTTAACCATTAAAAATAAAAAGTGTATGACGAGCAGATGGGACTAGGGCTAACATGTGTGGGTATTGTACAGGTACTATATGACAGTGTCAGATGACTCGGCTGATGAGATGTATGCCTGTATTTATGAGGGTACCAGAGGAGTTGGCAGTGAAACATATGCACAAATTGAGCCACGTTCCACTCCACCGCCACCTCCGCCCCCAATGCCTAGCCCTCCTCACGCTCCATCTACCCCATCACCCCTTTCTACGCGTGGTGGATCACAGCCCCCTCCGGCACCACCAAGTGTAGACAGCCTTCGCCATGTTGTACATTCCAGACAAGGTGAGGCTGTTCAGACAAAGGTTAAATTGACTTTTAATAGGAGTTTCCCCTTGAATTGTTAATAATTGTTTAATAACTAAATTATTTGGTGCCATATCAACCAGGTCATTGGTGCTCAGTAATATGACCCCAATCACATCTCTGAATTTTTTTCTATTTAATGATCGTATTAAAGGGTTGTGTGTGCTAGTGACTCAATGTACAGCACTAAATAGGAATGATTTTTTTTAATTCATTCAATTTGTCAACTTAACCATTACATGCAAATTACATGTACAGTATTGATGTAAAATTTAGGAGTTATATAATTGGCCCTAATGTTGTGAAGAAATTGTAGTAATATTTGCAAGTGCATTGCATGACATAACTACTGAAAATCGTTAGAGTACTGGTGTGAGTGTGTGAGGCCAGAGTGTGAGTGTGTTAAGTGTCACACATGAGTGTGTTAAGTATCATTTGTGGAAATAACTTGGCTATCCCTGCCTGCATGTAGTCTCCTTCCTCCCGTAATGAGAACTAACACGCAAGCGTTTACCCGAGGTTCTGTTTACCACACGTCCTTCGGTATAGAATGCTTCTTCTGTGACCTTTTACACATTTTGCAAGAAACAATGTATTATTAAAACAGTGGAATTATTTATATTTGTAATATATGTAATATGTTCATATATTATGTAACCACTCATATAAGAAATTATTGTAATTATTATTTTTAGAGTTGTCATTCACAATGAAGCAGGTGCATGTTAATGAAAAATAATGGATTATTTAAAGACCAGTAGAATATATTAAGTAAAGATTCAAAGTCAACTGTTAGCTTAGATTGATGCTAAACTGTCATAGCAATGACATGTGGAAAATATAACAATTAATACAGAATGTATTAGCCAGCAGGAACAAGTTTACAATGCATGATATAAGTTGTCATGTAGGATTGAGTAGTAAAGTACACAGGATGATGCTAAAGAGAAAGTGTGGGGATGAATAAATGAGTTACACCATACTTGACGAAGGGTAATGGAGTGCTCCCAGCCGCCTCCTCCTCACTCCTGTCAACTTACTTGCTCCCCCTTTCTTGGGCATCTTATTAAAGTACTTGGGGTCTGCATCTTCGAGCTGAGCACTCATTTTATGTAATGAGGTTTTTCTTGAATTAAAAAATGGAATCCACGTCAACACTGTGCGAGCATTCTCTCGCACACTCGTATCCTACTTCCGACTCTTCAAAATTGTTTAAATGCATTTTGGAGTTTTCTGATCCATTATGAGATTGTTTACACTATCACAAATAATTCCTGCATAAAATATTATTAAAGATTAGAAAACCCTTGAAATTATGGGAACCCAAAATGTGAGGGTCTGTTGTGATTGGTGGTCTCTGAGGTGAGCTTGGGTTGGTCCCTCTTTACCCAATGGGGCAGTCATAAGGTTCTGTTCACTCTGTTGGGCCACTCTGCCTCTTACGTATTCCAGAAGACTTGTACTGTATTCAAGTAAAAGAAATGCTTAATCAAGTGTAGTTGAGAAAATTTGAGATTGGATCACACTAAAATATGTCATCAGACAGAACAGTAGTTAAAATAGTGGACGACACTAAAGCTCACTATTGAACTGCTGTAGTATTAATGGTATTTTTAGCATTGTTTTAAACATACTGTACATTAATTACACAGTGAAATTACAATAACATTGTGTATCTATGAGAAAATGTTTGAAACGGGTGAGCAGTGACCCAAAACACTGGTCCTATTCTGCTGTCCTGCTCCAATGGCTTTCTTATTCATTAACTCATTAATGCAACAACAATTTAATATCCAGCTGTGCATTAAAGGAAATTTATTATATATGATAAGAAACAGGCTTGTTGAACAGTAGATTTTTAGTTTATCTTTAGGGGGGCGACGATGGTGGGAGTATGAAGGTCAGGAGTTTATCTTTAGGGGGGCGACGATGGTGGGAGTATGAAGGTCAGGTCCCAAATTTGCACAGTAGAATACCAACTTACTAGAGCAAAAGAAATGGAAGGAAATGCAGAATAGAACCAGTGAGGAGTAGTGGTGCCATAGGCACAATCAGAGAGCACTGTCTGAACATCTGAGGTCAACGACTGTTCAATATCCTCCCTGCAAACATTAGAAATACTGCCGGAACAAAGGTGGATATCTTCAAGAAGCATTTAGAAAAGTTCCTGCAAAAAGTACTGGACCAACAGGGTTGTAATGGATATGTTGGCCTGCGAGCTGCTCCAAACAGCCTGTTGGACCAAGTTATCGCAAGTTGAGCCTGGGCCCCGGGCCGGGCTCAGTGAGTAGAATAACTCCCGAAACTCTTTCTAGATATGCTCCAGGCATGTTGACTTAAGAAATAGCCGAGAGAATAATGAGAAAAGCATTGAGTAAAGGAAAGCAAAACGAAAAAAAGTGTTGATTAGTGAAGGTAAAAGCATAAAACATTAAGAGAAATCAGTGAGAAAAGTGAAATAAATGCATAGTAATAGAGAATCAAATTAGTAATTTACATAAATTGTGGCATTGAAAAGAAACACAAGAGATTGGGTAAAGGAAAAAGGAGGATTGAATAATTATAAACAAAAGATAATAGGAATTCTTTTATAAATACAAAAATCCTCTTTGAGCTCATGATATGATAAACAAGTTGAAATACTTACTTGTAGGGCTGTTAGGCATTGATATCTATTGTTGGTGATTACCATCAATGCATTCACATATACAACCAAAGGTTTAGAATGGCTACGATGAGTAAGACATTTATGTGAAGGGTTGTGGAGCCTAGTAGTAGTAGTCTTTGTGGCAAGAGTTTGTACTAATGGTGAGGAATAACACTTGTAAGAGTGCAAGATACTAATGGTGGGGAATAACACTTGTAAGAGTGCATGATACTAATGGTGGGGAATAACTCTTGTAAGAGTGCATGATACTAATGGTGGGGAATAACACTTGTAAGAGTGCAGGATACTAATGGTGGGGAATAACACTTGTAAGAGTGCATGATACTAATGGTGGGGAATAACTCTTGTAAGAGTGCATGATACTAATGGTGGGGAATAACACTTGTAAGAGTGCAGGATACTAATGGTGGGGAATAACTCTTGTAAGAGTGCAAGATACTAATGGTGGGGAATAACTCTTGTAAGAGTGCATGATACTAATGGTGGGGAATAACACTTGTAAGAGTGCAAGATACTAATGGTGGGGAATAACACTTGTAAGAGTGCATGATACTAATGGTGGGGAATATCACTTGTAAGAGTGCAAGATACTAATGGTGGGGAATATCACTTGTAAGAGTGCAAGATACTAATGGTGGGGAATAACACTTGTAAGAGTGCAGGATACTAATGGTGGGGAATATCACTTGTAAGAGTGCAAGATACTAATGGTGGGGAATAACACTTGTAAGAGTGCAAGATACTAATGGTGGGGAATAACTCTTGTAAGAGTGCATGATACTAATGGTGGGGAATAACACTTGTAAGAGTGCAAGATACTAATGGTGGGGAATAACACTTGTAAGAGTGCATGATACTAATGGTGGGGAATATCACTTGTAAGAGTGCAAGATACTAATGGTGGGGAATATCACTTGTAAGAGTGCAAGATACTAATGGTGGGGAATAACACTTGTAAGAGTGCAGGATACTAATGGTGGGGAATATCACTTGTAAGAGTGCAAGATACTAATGGTGGGGAATAACACTTGTAAGAGTGCAAGATACTAATGGTGGGGAATATCACTTGTAAGAGTGCAAGATACTAATGGTGGGGAATAACACTTGTAAGAGTGCAAGATACTAATGGTGGGGAATAACTCTTGTAAGAGTGCATGATACTAATGGTGGGGAATAACTCTTGTAAGAGTGCAAGATACTAATGGTGGGGAATAACTCTTGTAAGAGTGCAAGATACTAATGGTGGGGAATAACTCTTGTAAGAGTGCATGATACTAATGGTGGGGAATAACACTTGTAAGAGTGCATGATACTAATGGTGGGGAATAACACTTGTAAGAGTGCATGATACTAATGGTGGGGAATATCACTTGTAAGAGTGCAAGATACTAATGGTGGGGAATATCACTTGTAAGAGTGCAGGATACTAATGGTGGGGAATAACTCTTGTAAGAGTGCAAGATACTAATGGTGGGGAATAACACTTGTAAGAGTACATGATACTAATGGTGGGGAATAACTCTTGTAAGAGTGCAGGATACTAATGGTGGGGAATAACTCTTGTAAGAGTGCAAGATACTAATGGTGGGGAATAACACTTGTAAGAGTACATGATACTAATGGTGGGGAATAACTCTTGTAAGAGTGCAGGATACTAATGGTGGGGAATAACTCTTGTAAGAGTGCAGGATACTAATGGTGGGGAATAACACTTGTAAGAGTGCATGATACTAATGGTGGGGAATATCACTTGTAAGAGTGCATGATACTAATGGTGGGGAATAACACTTGTAAGAGTGCAAGATACTAATGGTGGGGAATAACACTTGTAAGAGTGCATGATACTAATGGTGGGGAATAACACTTGTAAGAGTGCAAGATACTAATGGTGGGGAATAACACTTGTAAGAGTGCATGATACTAATGGTGGGGAATAACTCTTGTAAGAGTGCATGATACTAATGGTGGGGAATATCACTTGTAAGAGTGCAGGATACTAATGGTGGGGAATAACACTTGTAAGAGTGCATGATACTAATGGTGGGGAATATCACTTGTAAGAGTGCAGGATACTAATGGTGGGGAATAACACTTGTAAGAGTCAATGAATGTTTCCTTCAAATGTTAGATGAAATTAACAGATTTTCCAAGACTTGCGAAGAGTTATGTAATAGTAATAGTTTGAGATTTAATTTGTACTTTACATGGAGTTTTGTTCTGTAAAAGGCACAATCTCATTTTTTTTCTATTTTTTTCAGTATTGCATAATAGGCATGAGAGAGATGTATAGCCTAGGTGGAGAATTAATATA